TAGAGTCCTGATTTATGGTGAAACATGTGGTGAAAATATTAACGCAGAAATCAAATGGTATGTCGACTTTGATTATGCAGGTTGTGTGGATTCCAAAAAATCTATTTTTGGATATGTGTTCACTATGTTTGGTAAAACAATTAGTTGGAAATCAAAAATTCAGAAGGTTGTCGCCTTATCAACCATTGAAGTGGAATATATCGCCCTCACTGAATCTGTGAAAGAAGCATTGTGGCTTGAAGGTTTTGCTAAGTAGCTGAAACTTCAAGGTCGAGTTATCATTGTTAAATGTGATGGTCAAAGTGTTATACACCTGTCAAAGAATTCAGCCTATCATGAGCGAACCAAGCACATCGATGTGAGGCTGCATTCCGTCAGATGGGTAATCAAGAATGGACAAGTCCAAGTGTTGAAGGTTTCGACAAATCACAATGTTGCTTATATGATCACCAAGACATTACCAAGTTGCAAGTTTTTCCACTGTATGCAGTTGATAAAGTTGCATGAAAAAAGATTTTTTGTTTCCTTGTTGTTTTAGAGTTTGTTCTAAGGTGGATATTTGTGAGATATAGGATCAAACTCTGGTATGGTCGAAGGATAGCTTTTAGGTTCGACAATTCGAAAGGATCTTAGCATGTCGTCGAAGTTTGTTCACATGTTGTAGTCGAAGTATGCTAGGAGTGTTAGCATGTCGAATTGGGTCTATTTGTTATGCCAAATTCTTTAAGTTAGCGTGTTCTCTAAGTTAGCTTATCTAATGGGCCTATGTGTGAAATTCCATTAGGTTTATGTGTTAGTTTTTTTATAAATAGCATGCTAGTCTCTCATATTTAATATAAGGAAAATCCTAATTAGGGTAAGAGATGTTATTTACTATTTTGTAACACTTGTAATCTTGTTTCAAAGAGAAAGTAAAGAATAGAAGTTTATAACCAATTTCATTGTGTTCTTCTTGCCTCCCTCTTTTCTACCCTTGTGAGTTTCTTGTCGATCAAAAAATTAATTATATTTTGCTATTCTGGCATCGTTTTCACAACACATAATATTAGTAAAAAAAAGAAAACAAAGTTAAAATATAATTCATGATATGAAGAAATCTATTTCAATTTGACTTACTTGTCCATCTTGAGAAAACAAATGATAAATCAATTGTCTCCACTGATTTAGATCAAACCTACTATCAGGTACAACAGATGCAACTTTTCCTTCCGTTTTACTTGGATCATATGTCTTTAATATTCTATACATTTCCATTATTGCTATACTTTCAATTAAGCATGTGAGTGATTAACACAACCTTATACTAGCTTTTTACATGAAATAGCATCTGATTGAAAAAGCAACAATATGATGACCATAAAAAACAACAACATAATGAGTCTATAGTCAAAGTCATAATCACAACATTAACTAAAGAAAAAGTCAAGTCCAACTACATAGAAAAATATAATATCATTGACAATTAAAACATACCCCCCTTCGTCTCCCTCCCCATCCTCTTCACCAATATGATTATCAACAACAACTTCAAAAAAATCATTAACATTTTAAATAGTTTTGCTTGTATGGTGAAGTGGTTGCTAATGGATTTCTTCAACTTCATTGGATTCCTCATTGTCCATATCATAAATATCTCTCACCTTTGCATCTAAAACAACAGGTCAATCCTTATTTCTCTCATCATATACATAAACACCTTTTTAGCTTGTGATGCAAAAACAAACGGGTCATCTTAAAGAATTTTTTCAATGTATTTCAAAAACTTAAAATTAACATGTGTCATCCCAAATTTATCTTTCTTGACCCCTTTCTTGATATTAATCCATTCACATTTGAATAACATAGCATTATACTTTCTAAAATAATTCAATTGTATTATATCAGTTATTGCTCCATAGTAGTTAATATCATCATTGGAAATCTTTGTCCTTACAACTACTCCATAATTTTGTGTCTTCAATCAAGTATCTTTCTCTTTTCCTTGTGCTGAACCTAAAACCATTAATGACATAATCAATGTGTCTCCATACAACCTCATATGATCAACGCGCTAACCATCTAACTTATGAGTAATTTCTTGGCTCCCTTATGCATCTAAGTGATGAATATAAAATAATTCAACAACAAACTTTAGCTACACTACATAAATAACAACTAAATTTAATTATTTTAAATTTTTTGTGCTCCCCCTATCTCGAAACCAATCACTAACTTTTTACTATGTTGTTTATCGATATTAAATTATGATAATCGTCACAGTCGAACTTATCTCTCAAGAAGTCCAACGTATTCTCTAAAAATTATGATAATATAGTTAGATGAGTAAAAAATGTACTCACACAGTAAAGTATTATTATTATTATTATTATTATTATTATTATTATTATTATTATTATTATTATTATTATTATTATTATATATATATATATATATATATATATATATATATATATATATATATATATATATATATATATATATATATATATATATATATATATATATATTAAAAATAATAAAAATTAATGGAAAGTTTGTAATTTAAATATAATATATTTTATCATATAATTAGTAAGTGTGTAACGAATATTTAAATAATAAAGTAATACTATTATGTTTCTCGCCATATTTTCAATAAACACATATGATAAATTTATCATATATCATATACTTATACAATTTAAAGTATGAGTAGACAATAATATGATTTATGTATGGTGAATTTGTCTAAATTAATTATTGTCAGTTTTTAAGAAATAAAAACATGTGGATCAGTTACCCCTAATTGCTTTTACTTTTTCTGTGCTTAGGCATGGCAATTGAATGAAGTCGGTTTTTTCAAACTCAAATTTGAATTATTTTCGTTGGGACGAAAAATTGAATTTCATATTTATCTGGATTAATTTTGAGTATTCCTGTTCTAGGCATGTCAACCAGGACAGATCAGAGACTATTTTTAACTTATCAAACTCAAATCTAAATTTTCAAAAATCTATGTTCCATGTCTTAAACTTCAACGTAAATAAAGAATTAAATTCAAACTCATCTCATAGAAATATTTATGTTTTTCAAAATCAATTTTTTAATAAAAATATTTATGTTTTCTAAAATTGAATTACATTAGAAATAATAAAATAATATAATTTTAAAAATTTTTGAGATGGATACTAGGTCTTCATTATCCGACTCGTTCGTATATTTTGTAGATGAGAAAAAACTCAAACACAAACTCAAACTCAATCAAAATAGATTTTTCCAATCAAATTTGAGTAACCATAGATACGAGTTATGTTACCACGTCTACCATATCTCACTCTTATCTCTCCGGTGTAATCAATTTTTAATAAAAATAATATTTTTTTTCTTAATATAACATTACATTACAATAAAAAAATAAAACAATATAAAATTACATTACTATTAAAAAATATAAAACAATTTAAAATTACATTACAATTAATAAAATAAAACAATATAAAATTACATTACAACTAAAAAAATAAAACACTATTGAAAATTTCCAAATATATATTTTAAATAATAAAATAAAAACTAAAATAAATAAGCATCAACCATAAGACTAATATTCTAAATTATTAAAAAAATAATAATAAATTATTTGTAATCGAGAAAAACTCAAACTCAAATTCAAACGGATTTTTTTTATTAAATTTAAAACGGATTTGAATTGATATATGCAAGTTTAGATTTGTTGTCATTCCTATCATGCTTGGATGTTGCTTTTCTAAAACAAAAATGTATTTAAAATAATAATTTAAGAGTAATATAAATTATATTAATTATATTATATAATTAAAAAATAATGTAATATTGTATAGAAAATTTAAAATATTTATTTATTTTTATAAAAAATTGCATTAAATATTTCAGTTCAATAATAAAAGTTTGACTTTATAATTGAAAAAAATAAAATTAAATATCATATGTAACAATTATATTGTTTATTATTTTCTAACACTAGTTGATTTATTTGTGTAAAGCTTATTATAATCATTAAACTTTAAAAGAAAACGAAAATTTTAACTATTAGAAATTATCATAAAATGATTTTTTATAATTAATATTATAATTTCCAATATTTCTCTTCTTATGTAGGAGTACACAATTCAATGGATTAAAGAAGAATGTACAATTTTTCTTGTAAATATAGTTCAAATAGTTTTAAAAAATTGTGAAAATATTTATTTTTCGAGGAGTATTATATTTTTATTATTAATACAATGATTCTTATTCATAATTAATGGAGAAAAAAATGCGAAATATCATTGGCATTTGTAATGCGATTCTTTTTGAAATTTTAGCCTTTTAAGTGAGATATGCTTTTATTTTATATATTACCAAACTTGCAGACAATTTATTATTATATTAGACCGTTTTTATCTTCTACCATGATCACTATGTCCATATGCATGGTTCTAATTTAAGTTCTATTATCCTATCAATAAAAGTTTTAAGATTTCCACTTTACTAATATTGATTCTTGAAAATCCGATTCTTATCTTTTCTAGGAAAATAATATTCAAAAGAAAAAGAAAAATAAGGAAGTTGTTAAATAGTTAGAAATAGTATAAAAAAAATTTAAAAATTTTAAAAATTTTAAAAAAAATGAAAAAGAAAAAATCTTTGTATGGTTTATACTTTATACTTAAAAAAATTTCTTAACTGGAAAAGGAGGGTACCCTTAGGAGGGTCATTTGACTTAAACTAAACATTGTTTTTTGGTCTAAATTTGGTCTATATAGTAAATAAGTCCTTAGTTGGAAGAAGAGAGTACTCTATATAAATGAGTAAAAAATATTTTGGAAAATAATCACTTGTGGAAAATAAGTTACCTACACGAAAATTATTGCATCCTTGTTTGGAAGTTAATTCATTTTAAGAAAAAAGCTGATTATTTTTTATTATATTGAGTATATGAATGAATGAATGAAAGTATCTCATTCTTATCTTTCATTCTCATTTCTCAAAGTTTAGCGAAAATGTCAGAGATGTGTGAGCCAAATTCAGAGAAAGTTTGTGAAGGTAATAGTGCTGAGTCTCCAACTATACCAGCTGAAAAACAACCAGAAGAAGCTGAACCGAAAACCAGTGAAAGAATCAAAGCCACAAGACATCCTAGGTGGACAAGACAAGAGACACTTGTTCTGATTGAGGCAAAGAAAGTGATTGAGAATGGAGATCAAGTTTGCAGATACAGATCATCGACGTCGGGGCTGGTTCAAACCGACCCGAAATGGGATTTGGTTTCGTCGTTGTGTCAGCAACATGGTGTCAAGAGAGGAGCTGTTCAGTGTAGGAAGAGATGGGGGAATCTTCTAACTGATTTCAGGAAGATCAAGAAATGGGAGACGAATGTAAAGGACGAGACTGAGTCGTTTTGGATAATGAGAAATGATGTGAGGAAAGAGAATAAGTTACCTGGTTTCTTTGATGCTGTTGTGTACAATGTGCTGGATGGAGGAGTTTGTACTGCTGCTGCGTTTCCTCTGACGCTGGTAAAGATGGCGCCGAGAGCGGAGAATGGTGATCAAGTTGAAGGTGCTGTGCCGACGGCATTGGCGTTAGAGCAGGGTACTAAAGAGGATGAAAATGAAGAGGAGGAGGATGAGGCTATTGTTGATAGTGAGAAAATGGGTTGGAGCACAGAGGAGGAAAACACGGAGACAAACACGAGTGGAAATGTGGTTATCAGTCCATTCAAAACACCAAATCCTAAGAAAACCAACATTGCAGGGAGTTTCAAATTGACACCTCCGCCAATCCTACTGCCTAGTTCAGCAGGTAACAGTTTCTCAACATGTCTTTATGTTTATTTTATGTTTCATAATTATATTACAGTCAATTTTTGTTTTGCGCATTATCATTACCAAGGTTAAATAAGCTCATATCATATCAGATTATTGGTATTGATCAATTATTTTCTTGTTGCTTTGTACTGATAAGCAGTGAGACAGCAACAGCCATTTCCACAAGGGAACTACGATCCAGGTAATCTCAATCTTTTAAACGGTTTGAATTGTTTAGTTTGACCAGTGATGTTACAAATCATGCAATTTTAGTGGTTTCGATGAAGTTTGGTTAGCATATTTTTATATCACTGTCCCCTTTATATCTACCTACAAAAATAAACAAGATGTTCCCTTATTTCCATGGGTACCTGTTTGATTTGAGAACTTTTGATTGCAGAACAGCCATTGTTTTCATTCTGATTCTTGTTTTTAAAAAATTTGTAATTTTCACAAATTCATGTGCAAATCATTAAAGACAAAAATGAATTGAACATGAGCAATGTTGTTAAATAGCCACTTTAGCGGCATTATACCGTTATAGTGTAGCGGAATTTAGACAAACGGCTATTGTTCTACAATATGCTATATAGTTCAAAATGTTGTTAAATAGCCGTTATATTGGTGCTATATCGCTGTTGCATGGCGGAATTTTAACAATTCTCTATTTTTTTCTTTGCTATCCACAATTGACAACCCTAAACATGAAAAACAGTCTTGTAATTAAAAATGAAACATAAACTAGCTGTTTTCCAAAACAAACATACAATTGAGTATTATTGGTTTTATTTGGTACCATCTATTTGTACAAATCTTCAAAGACAAAAATGTTCACAAATAACCAGTATAGTGGCGCCATATGACTATAGTATAGTGGAATTTGGCCAATAGCTGTTATATTGGCGCGATAGGCTATAGCACTATTGCCTGGCGGAATTTTAACAATCTGGTTTTCTTTTTCTATCCGCAATTGACAACCCCGAACATATGAGACGGACTAGTAACTATAAATGAAACATAAAAAATATCTTTTTCCAAAACAAACATACAATTGAGTCTTATTGGTTATATTTTGGAGCATCTATTTGTCCTCTTTTTTTTAGAAATCTCATTGGAAGTAATATTGATTCAGGTTATCAGAGAGAAGCTCTGTTCAATGAGGGGTTCAAAAGAAAGCGACCATCACCAGAAAATTCTGAAGACGCCGCAGATTTTACTGAAGATGTCATCAAAGTGCTAAGAAGGAATAGCAACATATTGAAAGCCCATCTTGGAGCTCAGAACATCAATACCCAATTGGCTAGAGACCAGCAGAAGCAGCAAACAGACAGCTTAGTTTCAGCCCTCGGCAGGCTTACAGATGCTATCACAAAAATTGCCGACAAGCTATAAAAGAATTCAGAAAAAAATGACGTATTCTTCAGGGGACATCAGATTTAGGTTATGTGGACAAGGATCTTTCAATCACTGTTAAATTTGGCACTTGAGTTTATTGTTATCAGTTATTCCCTTAAACTAGTTTTTTTTTTTGCCGCATATCGTTTTATTTTGGTGAAAACTTCTCTTCATATACATTTGTTCTTTTGAAATTGATGTTATTCTTTCAATTCCTGATCCAGCTTGCATTATCCTCTATTCTTTTTCCCCCAAAGTCCGGCTTACTATAAAACTAGTGGTTTTAGTTATAATACTTCTCTAGTCCTGCATAGTACAGAAATGTGAAAAGACGAAGTAAATTTTAGGACATGCAGGAACAATAAAAGGAAGCCATCACCTGAGGTGAGTAGCATGATAACATTAAATCAATGCATCAGTTGACATCTAGTTTCAAATTTTTAGTTCTTTCTACAATAATAAATATACATATCCAGAGAATCATAGTATAATATAGCATACAAAAAACACAAAAATGGCTTACAATATACATTAGGAATTTCCTCTAATGATGCAAAACTTACCTCTGAATTCTCTAGCCTTCCTACATAGGAACAGCCTCGATAAGCTTGGCAAAGTAAAATTGAGTAGCGATTAAGCCACTCTTCTTTACTGTCCACCCAACCTTGCGCAACGCCCTTTCAACATCTGCTTCGGAATGAAGATATGCTCTGGTTGCCTTGGAAGGCCCGGGGAACAACTCTCCAACCCTCTTCAGTGCATCATAATAAAATGTCTTAGGTGCAAAGCTCAGAACCAATCGCTTTTCTGCCAAAGAAGCAAGGTGAGCAATCATCCCATCCGCTTTACTCTGAGGGTAATGAATCATAACATCAAGGCACACCACTGTATCGTACAATCCTTCCAAACTCTCTAAATCACTCACCACAAACTTTGGCATCACAGATGACACAAGTTGTTCTTTAGCCTGAAAAGTGAAAAAACACACTTAACATATTAGTTTGTGTTTGGATATGCTTTTGATAATCCAGTTTCTTTTACATTCAACTCACTTTTAACTAAAATCAATTCACTCGGAATCAATTCTTGTCTGTCACAGCAGAACCAAACACACACTATATACACTTATCCTTTCTCCAATCACAAATCAAAAATTTCAAAGTTATAGATTAAGTAACCTGTTTCTCAGCTTCAGCGACCATGGCAGCAGATATATCACTGGCACACACAACGGCACCTTCCTTAGCCAACGGAATCGACAGAGAACCAGTACCACATCCAGCATCACAAATAGTAACACCTTCAAGCGACCCTTCCTCTTTCAGCATCTGTAACGCATTCTCCACAGTCTTCGAATGCCCCAACCTAATATCCCTCTGAACTCTATTAACATCATCAGTATCACCGTAGATCTTCTTCCACCTCTGGAATCCATTGTTGTTAAAATACTCCTTCACAACTTCTTTATCGTCGCCGCCAACTTCCTCCGCCTGTTCGCGCCGCCGTCTCTCGGGGTCAGATAAAGAGAGTATCGCGGTGAGACCGGCGACGAAGCCGCCGCTTACTACGGCGATTGTTGTCCCGTCGATCGCGCCGGTGACGTCGGCGGCGGTTGCGGTTGAGAGTGGAGGGATTGCGAATGTGGTTGAGAGTTTGTGAGTGGCGGGAGAGGAAGGAGAGAATGTGGGAAAACGGTTATTTCTGTTAGGATTTGGAATGACGAGAGAAGACCATAAGGAAGATGAGAACGCCATTTTGTTTTGTTTTTGTTTACAGTTTGAATTATGAGTTGAAGTGATATTGTTATCCAGGAAGGATAAGATAGCATTTGAGTTTCCATGCTTTTCGCTGATTCTTGTGGGTCCAACTTTTTAAATTTGGCTTAAAATGATAAATGTGTTTAAATTTTTACTTAGCTCCATTTTGTGACATTTAACCTGCTCTCCTCCTTCAAGTTGATTATTTGAAATTCCAACACTCAATTTTAGACACTTTATTCTACAAGTGTATATTAATGTGTATCTTTCTCTTAATCTTTAAATTTTATATATTTTTGAGTATTTTGAAAATACTCCAATACACTTCAAAATAATAAAGAATATTTTGAGACATCTCTGTTTTCGTTGGTCAAGAATCATCTATCACATAAGAAAATAAGATGTTATGAAAAACTCTAATTTATCCTTTCTTTAGCTTCTCACAAATAATGCTCCTTACGTTTATTTTTAAGTATCGCTTTTTTGATTTTTTTATACATGCCAAAAAAAGGTAATTAATATTATTACTTTTCATGTAATAATTATTTTTTACCTATAATACCTGATCTGACATGATTACAAAGGAATTAACAGCCTGACACGCGTCTTGAGCTTCTGTGTTCACCGGTGTTGATGAGGAGGAGAGGGTGTACCTGCAAGATACTCCGATGTCTAAGTGAGTAACAGAGTTTTAGAAAAGCAAGTACAGAGAGATTACATGTGTAGAATGGAATACCTGACTTTCTAGTGAAATAGGGTATTTATAATGTACCCCTAGTGCAGAGCCAACGATTACTTGGCATTGGGCTGGATTACAAGGCCCGATAGAGTAATTGTCGAGGCTTACATGGCGTAGGGAAGACCAGCATGTGCTCTTCATCCTAGATCAATTGTCCCGTGATCTTCGAAAGGTGGGCTGACCAGCTCTTTCGGAAGTGGGTAGTTGCCTAATGACGTGTCCCCGCGTGAGGAACACCTCGATAGTCTTTTCGATCAAGTCCGAGAAAATAGCTTGCATACACCTTTGAAAAGTCGTCGGTGCATTACACAGGCCAAACGACATCCTCCTATAAGTAAAGATTCTGAAAGGGCAAGCGAAAGCTGTTTTTCCATGATCATCCGGGTTGACAATGATTTGATTATACCCCGAGTATCCATCCAAAAAACAATAATACTCTTGACCGGAGAGCCTCTCGAGCATTTGATCCATGAAAGAAAAAGGGAAGTGATCTTTCCTCGTAGCTTGGTTGAGCCTACGGTAGTCGATACACATCCTCCACCCTGTTACAGTTTTTGTTGGAATCAACTCATTCTTCTCATTACGGATAACTGTCATTCCTCCCTTCTTCGGCACCACTTGTACCAGACTAACCCAAAGACTGTCAGAGATAGGATAAATCATTTTGGCGTCTAACATTTTTACCATTTCTTTCCTCAACACTTCTTTCATGGTAGGATTCAATCTTCTTTGTGGTTGAGCCACCGGCTTGAAATCTTCCTCCATGAATATTCGGTGCATACAATAGGATGGACTTATACCTTTCAAGTCGGAAAGAGTCCAACCCATTGCCTCTTGATTTTTCTTCAAAACACCAATTAATTATGTCTCTTCCTTCTTGGTTAGCTCTGTACTAATGATCACCGGCTTGTTTCCTTCTTCATCAAGAAAGACATACTTGAGATGAGAGAGTAACACTTTCAACTCAAGTTTAATTTTCTCATTGTTTTCCTTTTTCAACATTTTCACCCTTTCATTCAAAGGGGAAATTTCTTCTAACTCTTCAAGCTCCCGCAAGCATTTTTCAATCTCTTTTTATTCCTTCTCATTGAAATTTGAAAGAACATTGGTAAGAACTTGTTGTAATGGTGTGGGAACTTGTAGCAACTCTTTAACTTCTTCGATCACCCTTTCCGTTGCATCGATTCTAAAACAATCGGTATTGTCCTTCGAGTGCTTCATGGCTTCAAAAAGATTGAAACATATCTCCTCATCTTGAACTGTAACTTTCATTAGACCATCATCCATATCAATTACCATGCGCGCGGTCTTCATAAAAGGTCGCCCAAGAATCAAGAGAGAGTCACCATCTTCCTCCTTATCAATCACCATAAAGTCGATTGGAAACAAAAATTTGTCAACCTTTACCAACACGTCTTCTGCTACACCATGAGGGCGAGTGGTAGATTTGTCGGTAAGTTGCAATGTCATTTGAGTGGACTTCAACTCCATGTATCCCAACCGCTTCACAATAGACAAGGGTATCAAATTGATACTAGAGCTTAAATCAATCAACCCATTGCCAAGATAAATGTTTCCAATTGTAACCGGCAAAGTGACTCGTCCCATATCACTTTTTTTCCTCGGGAGAGTGTGTTGAATGATTGTGATACAACTAGCATCCACCATAATAGTTTATTGATCCGTATATCTCTTCTTCTTTGTAAGGATATCCTTCATGAATTTCGTATACTTGGGCATTTGTTCCAATGCTTCGAAAAATGGAACATTTACTTGCAATTGCTTGAATATATCCATGAGCCGAGCATAGTGCCTCGCACTATCTTTTCTTGATGGAGCATGTGGGTATGAAAATTCTTGAATCAAAATAATGCTCACCTGTTCTTTTCCTTTCCTAGACTTTTTCACTTTTTCTTCTCTCTTATTTTCTCCTCGTCCTCACTCTTTTTCACTCTTTATTTTTCAACTAATTCTCCCTCAACATTTTTTTCTACTTCTTTCTCAACAATTTCTTTTTCTTTTTCAACTACAACCTATTCCTCTACTACCTCCTCACCTACACCCATGTCAATCTCTCTACCACTTCTTGTGAGAATCGCCTTGCAATGCTCCTTAGGATTTAGGATAGCGATAGCCGTAAATGGTCATTTTTGTTGGTCAGCCAATTGCTTGGATAATTGACCCACTTGTGTCTCCAAATTCTTTATATCCGCATCGGTATTCTTTTTATTTGACATTGACATTTGCATAAATTAAGTAAGAGTTTCTTCCATCTTTGAAGTTGCACTTTGAGTTTGTGGAGGTTGAGTGTAATTTTGGTATTGTTGGCGATTTGAAGTTTCGGCTTCTTACGGCCCCCAAGGTTGTTAATACCCATGATTTGGTCTTTGATACTCTTGATTGGCTTGTTGGTAAGGTGGCCTAGGTTGGTATTCTTGATTTTGATTTCTGGCATAGTTAACCTCCTCCACTACCAGAGGACAATACCCGGTAGGATGGTC